TGCTTGGTAGGGTGGAGGGACAGCACAGGAGGGGAAGGCCCTCTATGAGGTGGATTGATTCAGTGACTGGGATAATCGGGATGGGTGTGTCAGAGACAATGAGATTGGCACAGGACAGAGCAGGGTTTAGGGCTGTTGTCCATAGGGTCGCACATAACAACAATAACAACAACAACAACAACAACAACAACAATGTGATAATGGATAATAAGTGTGTTTTTGTTATATGCCTTTGAGTCACTTGCCACTCATAGTGACCTACAAGAGCCCTAAACCCTCCTCTGTGCTGTGCCTTTTTATCTGTGACACACTTAAACCCATTACTCCAGTGAAGATCTACTAAATTGAAAGATCTAAAGTAGTGTTTAAAAGAACACCTCATCTACTGGAGATAAAGTTATAAAAGGTGTTTATTTTTTAAATTCAAATTTTAATGAGGAGTTAGCCCCCTAGGCAGTTGAGAATGTATTGTCTTGACAAAGTAATTGAGGATACCTAACAAGAGCATGAGAATCCTGTGAACAAACTTTGCTTTAGTCTGTACCATCCTCCTCATCAGATATACTTGAACCCCTGTAATCACTGTATCAGTCCATCTGGTGGAGAATTTTTCACTTTTTCTGACCCTCCACTCTCCCAAGTAGGTTAGACAAGTTGCCTCACCTAGCAACATTTCTAAAGTATGTGAGATGAAGCTTCACCATCCTTGCTTCCAAAGAACACTCTGACTCTACTTTTTCCAAGATGTTTGTTCTTCTGGCAGTCCATGGGATATTCAGTACTCTTCTCCAACATCACAGTTCAAAGACATCAATTCTCCTGTCATCCTTATTTATTGTCCACCTTTTAGATGCATAGGGACTAATTGAAAAGACCATGGATTCTATCAGGTACACCTTAGTCTTTAAATTGACATCATTGCTCTTTAGTACCTTGGAGAGGTCCAGCAGCAGATTTTCCCAGTGCAACACATTTTTTCATTTCCTGGCTGCTGACACCAAATGTGTTATATCCAAGTAAGATGAGATAATTATATAGTTAAAGTACATTGTATGGAGGAGTGAGATTCAGAGATCTTAGAAACCAGATATTTCAGAACATTGTAGGCTATGTCTAGGATTTTAGAAATTAACTATAGAAGAAGGGAAGCCGTTGATTGAAAGAATACAAGGGAATGAAGAAATGGTATCTACACTTTAAGGACACTGATCTTTGGTGGGGTGGAGAGAGGTGAATTAGATCAGAAAAAGGAAGACTAGAAAGTGTGTCCTAGTCTAACCATAAAGAAAAGGAAAGAGAAAACTTAAAATGTATCATGGCATTGGGGCTGGAGAAGAACATATATTTGAGGGATATTTTGGAGATGATGTCATCAGGATCTCTGACTCCTTAAGGCTATTCATAGCAGAATGAAACCGTGCCCCATCCTGTGTCATTCCCACATTATCTGCAATGCTTCAGCACACATATTTTAGTCACTTTGTCCTTCCAGCTCATTGAGGGTCTCCCCTTTTTTTCTGACCTTCTGCTTTTCCAAACATAATGCTCCTCTGTAAGGACTCTCCTGATAAATGCCAAAAATATATGGGACAGAGTCTCACCATTCTTGTCTCACAGTAGCACCCTAGATGCACTTCTTCCAAGACAAAATTGTTTGTTACTTTTACAGTGTATAGTATATTCAGTCCTGTTTACCATCAACACAATTCCACAGCATTGATTCATAATATTCCTTATTCATTGTTCAGTCTTTATGTGCATATGAAGCTATTGACAATATCATGGCTCAGATCAAGGCTGATAGAGTATGCTAACAGATTTGCTTAGGAGAACAGGAGAAGAGAAGAAATTAGGACAGCATAAGATTTTTGGTATGATTAATTGGAAAAATGGGGATTATTTAATGTGATAGGAAACACAAGAGGTATAAAATATTTGGAAATAAGCTGATGTGTTTGCTTTAACATGTCTGTGCTACCTCCAAATAGATCTGTAGTGCACTGCTGTTGCTAGATAGTGACCATATGTACAACAGCAAAATAGATTCTGGTCCAGTACCATCCTCATAGTAATTGCTAATTTGAGCCTGTGGGTATAGCTGTCATGTCAACCCATCTCATTAAGGAGGTGGAAATCCTCTTCTCCTCTCTTTGATTCTGTTTTACCGAGGATGATGTCCATCTCCAGGGACTGACTCCCCCTGAAAATGTGCCTAAGTAGATGAGACACGATTTTGTCATCTTTACATGAAGGGAACTTTCTGACTGTACTTCTGCCCAGATAATTTGCTAATGCTTCTGAAATTCCAGGGCATATTTAATATTCTTTACTGATAATGAAATGCAGATATATCAGCTCTTCAGTCTTCCCTGTGCATGTCAAGCTTTTTTGCATGTATATAATGTTATTGAAAATGCCATGACTTTTGGCAGGTGGCCCTAAGACCTCACAGTGATATCTTTAATTTAAAAACTTTTAAAGCAATTTTCAGAGGCAAAGATTGTGAAACTCCATCTGACATCCTTAGGACACATGGTCAGGAGGGATCAGTCCTTAGAGAAGGACATCATGCTTGGAAGGGTGGAGGGACAGCACAAGAGAGGGAGACACAGGATGAAATTAGTGGGAGTAGGTGTGTCAGAGACAGTGAGAGAGGCTCAGGATATGACAGTGTTCAGAACTGTTGTGCATAAGTTGCTATGTAAGTCACAGTTAAATCAACGGCACATAGCAACAAGAACAACAGCAGCAATATTAAGACATTTTTGCAAAATGGATAGATCCTCTAAAATATTATTTCTCAACTTCTTTATTAAATTAAAGGACTAGTAACAGCTTAGAAAGGATCCCTGGTAAGCCAATGAATTAAGCATTGGACTGCCTACCACAGATCAGCTTTGACTCCATCACTCACTACTAGGAGAAAATAGAGGCAATCTTCTTTGGTACAAATTTTCAACTTTGGAAACCCCCAAGAGCAGTTCTGTTCTATAGGGTCATTGTAGGTTGTAATCAGTTTGATGGCTTTAGATAGGGCTTATATTTTAGAGCCTACAACTCGACAGCACACAACAACAACAACAACAACAACAACAAGGAGGTACTATATTTTTATTATTTTCCTTTTTTAAAAATCAAGCACTTACACAGAAAAAAAAGTTTGCATTCTTTTAAATATCTTTTAATTCGAAACTTCGCTAAGTTTTGTGAGGGCAGGTGCTATGTGTCTCTTACTAAATTTTTAAATACATAGTCCAGCATTAATTCCTGTACATAGTAGGTACTCCTTAAATATTTTTTTAATGCATTAAAATACATTCTTTAGTTATGCATTGATTTTTTATTTTTTTAGTTGTGCATTGGTTAGCAAATAGTATATATAACTAAAAAATAATAATGAAATATAATTACAAAAACAGTATATATAGCTAAAAATTACTTCTGTGAGTTCACTAAAAATATTTCAGTATTTTAGATCTGAGTAACTTCCATGAAAATTAAATATGGATAATTATGCTGATAAAATTGTGCTAGCTTTGATACAATATTACAATCTGAAAGATTCTTTAAAAGTAGGATTATGAAGTAAAAAATTAAACATAGACTTGATGAATGTATGAATTGGATTTATAAGGAGCCACAAAATGTGTCTTAACTGACAATTAGGAGAAGTTCTAAATTTTAAATTCTTTTTCAAGTTTATTTGACAAGTTTATTTGCATATAAACAAGTACAGTAAGTAATAGAGACTAAGACAAAAGAGCCCAAATATGGACCACTGATAATGGATAAATCTGTTTAGTGTTGTATGATGACTCCTGTCTGCTGACTCAGTGTGCACTCTTTCTTGGTCAGGATTTAAAGTAGACTCTGAGCCAATATAAGAAGACAGATGCTGTAGTAGTGTACAATATTAACTTGAGTTTCCCCGTAGTTGTAAAGAACTAGAATGACCTCGGAAAATTCCCGTTTTACCACAAATTGGGGTAAAAATGAAAAATGGTCAAACCATAAAAACCAAAACCAAACCTAGAGTACTGTTCTTGCTTAGCGATGTGTGTAGCTTCATATTTTTTTAGGTAATCTCAATATTTTTATTGATTTTAATACTTTCATGATATATATAAAATAATGTGAAAAAGTAACTGACAATGATTACATTTTCAGTTGTTGAAGGGAAATAAACATTTTCCTTTTTTAAAAAAATACATGTAATCATAAAAATGTCAGCCTTTAAGTTTTAAATGTTAGACTTCTCTTTAGTCTTTCAGTGTATTCTTTTCTGTGAAACATCAAAGTGCTAGGTTCTTACGAGTACTAACAATTTTGGTTCTTGTTGCAGACCCAGTTATACATGCACTTGACAAACTACTCTGTGAACAAACATAATGAGCGTTTTGAACGTGATGAAACTGAAAACAAAGGCAGCAAACGCTCCATCAAATGGTTTACAGAATTTCTCCAAGCAAATCAACATGATGTTACCAAATTTTGGAGCGATATTTCAGTAAGATGATACCATTTCAAAAGTGTTACTATCATTCCTTAGAATTAATTTAAAATACAGTCTGGCATTTACAGTAAAGAGCAGATTCCATTTAACTGGATGATTGGCTAGATAAAGAATGTTTTCATGAATTGTAACTTGTAATAGAACTTAATTGATAAATATAAGTTTATTGTTAGTGATGAGGAAGAAGAACTTCTGGGTGAGGGAAAAAGTATAAAGAAAACCAGAGAAGAATAGGTGTAGTGATATGTTGGATAGGTTGTCATATGCAGTTTGTGGGAGAGCTGTGGAGATTTATTTCTAAAGTAATATGTGGATGCCATATATGAGATCTGAAAAGCAAAGTTTAATTTGATAGGCACTAGATATTCACTTAGATTTTTAAAGCAAAAGAACAATATAGGCAAAGATGGTTGTTGCTAGCTAGGTACCATTGAGTCAAAAAAGATGTATAGTGACCCTATGAACAGCCAATCTAAAGCTTTCTCTATCCTATGCCATTCTCAGAATCTACACGATGCCCAAATCCATTGTTGCAGTCACTGTGTCAGTCCATCCCACTGATGGTCTTCCTCTCTTTCACTGATCCTCAGCTTTCCCCAACACGTCTTTTTGCAAGGACTGGATATACGTACAAAGTATGCAAGACAAAGTATCACCATTATTGCCTCTTAAAAGCACCCTGGTTTCACTTCTCCTAAGACTGATTTGTGTGTTCTTTGGCAATCCATGGTATATTTGAATTGACATCTTTGCTTGATAGTATGATGCATTTAATAGGTAAATCCAGTAGTCAATGTAGAATAAATTTGAGTGAAGACTGTAAGTAGGTACAAAGGAAATTTAAAAGTGAGAAGAATGGCCCAAATTCTAGTGTAGCCTGGGCTTGTAAAGTAAGTGATATGGACATAAACTTTGATTAACTCAATGCCACAGATGAAGGAAAAAGAAGTATCCAGAGATTCCTTGCAGGAATTAGAGAAAGAAAGGAGATGGCATTATTTGAAATAGAGTGGGAAGTACTTTGAGAAGTAAATCTGAAGCTTGCTTTTGTAGAAGTAGAAAAAGAGGCTTATTAGTTCATTTGTGTCACATTCATTGATCCAATAAATGAATATTGTATTTCTAGCATAAGCTTGGCTCCAATATTTATAAAGTTCTAATCAGCACACAGTTAGAAAAATGTGCTGTTGTAAGTGCAAAACAGGTATATATTGGAGTCTATGGAGATGTAGAGGAACACAAACTAATAGGAGCTTGTGGGAAAAGGAGCACTTTCTGTAGACTTTGAAACTGGAATTGAGTTTTAAAGAGCAATTAGGTATGATGACTTGTTCCATTTCAGGCATATTGAGTTTGAAATGTTGTCAGGTAAAAAAAGCCAAGCAGGCAGCTATGTTTTTGGTTTTGTTGATAATAAAATGAAAGATGCATTTTTCATTTTTTTTAACTTTTAAAATATTATTTATACTGGTTTACATACAAAGTTCCTAAAGTTCGTATACATTGTTCTTCACACTGAATCATTCCCCTTTTGTTTACCCATTCTTCCATTCACCCATCAAATTATGTGGCCCTTGGGTTAAGGCACCCACCCCCTTGGATCATCTTACTCATTCTACAATAATAGTCCTATACAGTATTTGTCCTAATGGTACTAAGTTAATTCACTTAGCATAATGCTCTCCAGTGCCTCTCATGTTAGGTAGTAATTTACAAAACCATTGCTCCTGTGTGCTGCGTAACATTCCACTGTGTGAATGTACCACAGTTTCTCAATCCATTCCACTGTGGTTGGAGCATTTGGGCTTTTTCTATGTTCTCATTATGGTGAATAACACTGCTATGAACTTTGGTGTACAAGTCTTTGTGTGTGCATCGGTTCTCGTTTTCTCAAGGTCTAGTCCAAGCATTGGAATAGCTGGATCATATGGAATTTCTATGTTCAGCTCTTTGACGAAGCAGCAAACTGCCTTCCAGAGTAGTTGTACCATTTTATTATAATTCCACCAACAATGTATTTCCCCTCTTGCCATTTCCTCTCCAAAATTTATTACTTGCTGCCCTGCTAAAATCTTTACCATTGCTACTGGGCGAAAATGATAACTCATTGTGGTTTTGATTTACATCTCTCTTATTGCCAGTGATTTGGAGCATTTCTTCATGTGTCTGCTGGCCATCAAATGTCCTCCTCTGTGAAAAGTTTTTCCATGTGTTTTGCCCATTTTAAATTGGGTTCTCAGTCTTTTTCTTCTGGAGGTCCTTGTAGATTCTGTAAACTTTAAATGATAAGATCCTTGTCTGAGATGATATTGCCAATTGTTTGTTCCCAGTTAGTAGGTTTTCTTTTTACCCTGTTTGAAAAAGTTTTTCATGAGTGCCAACCATCAATTTTATCCTTTTCAGATTATGCATTTCTGGCTGTATTTGGCAGTCTCTTTATACCTTAGAGTAGGCTTTCTAAGCTTGGTCCTAGTTTGTGTCTTTTGAGCTTTATTTCGAGGTCTCAGATCCACTTTGAATTGATTTTTTGTGTATGGTGTTAGATGTGGATCCTGTTTCAGCTTTCTGCAGGTAGTTGTCCAGTTCTGGCCGCACCATTTGTTGAAGAGGTTGTCATTTCCCCATTTGATAGGTTTTATTTCCTTGGTGATTATCAGTTGTCCATAGATAGATGAGCCATTTCTGGATTCTCAGTTCTGTTCCACTGGTCTATCATTGTACCAGTACCTCACATATAATTTATGATCATGGACTCAAAAATCCTTAACAAAATCCTAACAATAGAATCCAAAAGCACAACAAAAAAATAATTCATCATTACCAAATGGGATTCATAAGAGGTATGCAAGGATGGTTCAATATAAGAAATACAATCAACGTAATTCACTACATTAACAAAATGAATAACAAGAACCATATGATCCTAGTAATTGATGCAGAAAAGGCATTTGACAAAATCCCACACCTCTTCCTGATTAAGACACTCTTCAAAATTGGAATAGAAGAGAATTTACTCAACATAGTCAACAGTAGATATTAAAAAAACAAGAGCCAATATCATTGTCAATGGAGAAAGACTAAGAGCATTTTCTCTGCAAACAGGGACCAGACAAGGATGTCCACTGTCGCCACTCCTATTCAATTGTATTGGAAGTGCTTGCTAGGGCAGAAAAACAAAAGAAGGAAATAAAAAGCATCACAGTCAGCAAAGAGATGTTTAAACTGTTGCTCCATGCAGATAATATGACAGTGTACATAGAAATCCCCAAGTACTAAACAAAAAACTGTTAGGTCAATTTAGTAGAGCGGCAGTCTATAAGACTAACATCCTAAAAACAGTGGGATTCCTCTACAGTAACAAAGAGAACTCAGAGAAGGAAGTCAGGAAAACAATACCATTTATAATAACCAACCACAAACTGAGATACTTTGGAGAGAACCTAATTAGAGACTCAAAAGACCTCTAAAGAAAACTACAGAACATTTTTTCAAGACAGAATAAAAGATCTAACTAAATGTAAAAATGTTCCCTGTTCATTGATGGGAAGACTCAATATTGTGAAAATGACAGTCCTACCAAAAGCAATCTACATGTTCAACACAATCCCACTACAGAAATAAAATTCATTTTTCAAGGAGATTTAAAGGGAAATTGTCAAGTTTATTTGAAGAGGAGAGAGACCCTGAATAAGCATAGTACTCCTGAAAAGCAAAAATGAAGTGGGAGGCATAGCTCTCCCTCCCTGACCTCGAAACCTAGTACATAGTAGTAACTGGTACAATGTCAGGCATTTTTCATTTTCAATGTAGTGGATGAAAGAAAGAAAGGGAAACACAGCTTAGAAGGTAACTTGCTGAAGTTATTGATCTTAGCAGAGGCATTAAGAAGAGTATTCAGCATTAGGGGAATGTGTCTATTTAAAGCTATAGAATGTAACACTCTCTTTAGGGATGGATTGTATATAGTAACATACTTTATATAGAAAATGGTTATGACAATTCAGTTTGTTGAGCTTCATTCTCTCTAAGAATCAATTAGAGAGAAACATAAGTATTATACTTATCCTTTTTTGATTTTTTTTAGTTATTTGATTAAAAAAATTCGAATTTTCTGTATTGCAGAATAAAGGACTAAAAATTCTTAGGTGCTAGACAATTAAGAAAGAGTGAAATTGTCTGAAGAGAAAAAAAATAGTGCTGTGAACTGTGGTTATTTGAAAAATGTAAGCAATCTTTTCAAAGCAGGTAACCATCACTTAGCATCAGCTATTAATTTCACAAACAGGTAACCATCACTTAGCATCAGCCTATTAATTTCACAGTGTTTCAGGGATAATATAGATCATCCTTTTAATTCATCAAAAGAAGCCATAAACATAGATGTTGAGAACTACTTAAAAATTTTGAAAATATAGGAATTGCACCAAATGTTTGTTAACTGATAGTCACCAATATATTTTCTTTAACGTCTTTTTGAGAGACTAACTGTATTCACACTAGAAATATGTGTATAATGATGTGTATTTCATTCACTTACTTTACAAAGGCTGCTGTTGTTGTTTGTTGTTGTGTACCATTGAGTTGGAACTGACTCAGGGCTGACCCTCCGGTGGGCTTTCTGAGGTAGTAAGTAGCACAGACGAGATTTCCCATCTTTCTCTCACAGAGCAGTAGATAGACTCTAATCGCATGCCTTTGGTTTGGTAGCAAAACTCCTTACCACTGGTGTACTTTAACAGAGAATTAGAAGAATTCACAGGGATAAAACGAATTAGTTTTGGGTGCTAGCTTATTGATTGAAGGCAATTTGATGACAGCAGAGTGGCTTAAGGACACAATGTGACAAAGTAAGTTTTATATACCCTCTTGGAATACTTTTGTTTCTTTACTAAAATTTTCACTTCCATGTAAATTTAATCCTTATGGAAACTTTTTGTGAAAATTTTGAAGATATTGGGCCAGAAAGAAAAACCAGCACCGTTAAAGTTTATTTC